TCTGTGCTACCACTAGTGGCCACATGGCATTTGCTGTCCGCAGGGAGATGGGGTTCTGATCTCTTCTGACAGGGCTTGCTCTGGGGAAACCTAGTGACCTTGGGCAAGTCCCTGCCCTTGCAGTTTCTTCCTTGTGTGGTGGCGACAAGACACTGAGCACCCCTCCCAGCCTACCCCCACGAGGCCCAGATGGATGCACCGGGGGGTGCAGCTGTGGCCCTGGTTCTTGGGGGCGCCAGTGGACAGGCCTCTCTGGGGAGCGAGTATCATTTAAATAGTAAAATTAAAAACCTTTCTGCACATAGCAGCCCTGTTTTTGCCGTTAATGGCCACTTAACCCAATTAAACTGATGCATTGTTGGCAATATGACCGGGTCTGTTCAGGAACTGGGCTCTGGGCTGGGTGTTCAGAGGAGCAAGGGGATTAAGCCAGCAGGCCAGGGCTATGGGGCCACGACACCCCTTGTCAGGAGGGAGGGCATTCCGCCTGCCTCCCACTCACTGCTTCCTTTCTCAGGCTTCACCTAATGCAGGTGTCTCAATGTCAGCACTTTCAATAGGTAATTCTGTGTTGTGGGGCTATGCCCTGTAGGATGTAAGCAGCATCCTACTAGATGCCAGTAGTATGCCACTCCCCCAGTTTTAACAACCAAAAGTTTCTCCAAATGTTGCCAAATGTCCCCTGGGGGCAAAATCCCCCCCTGGTTGAGACTCACTGGTCTGATGGGACGGAGAGCTGCAGCCATGGTGAACAGAAGTCCCACAAGCAGGGGGACATCAGGGACGTCAGAGAGGTGTGACATAATGGGGCAGCCCCGGCAGGAAGAAGAGAGCCCTTCCGTTCAAGGGGTGGGGAGGATAACAGCAAGCATGGGGCTGCCTGGAGGAGGCAGCAAGGATTTGGGAGGAAAGTTCTGCATGGAGGCAGCTGGAGGCCAGTTCAGAACTGGAACCACTGATGGATGCACTGATTGGGGCTGGACACGCAGATCAGCCCTGGGAGGACAAGATCGTGAGTGTCACTGGCCTAGAGTAGGAGCCTCTTGAATGTTTGTAGAACAACAGATGCCGGGGCTATGGCTCTGGGTTCTCTCTCTAAAAGGCACAGTGACGGTGGACAGACAGGCAGGGGATTCTGTAGCATTGGCTGCCTCCGCCCACCCTTCTCTGAGCAATTAAAAGGTGCGCATGTGGGGCTGGCAGTGGCTTCTGCCTCCCCTCCATTACAAACATTAAGAGATTTTG